ACTTATTGAACTTAATGTAGTGTTTTATAATTCACTGACGTAATTTGGTGAAGTTTTCTGGAGTTTTGTCACTAGAGACCTATAAACAATTGAATAGAATAAATTGTCCTTTATGTGTTATTTCCATGACACTATAAAAAAACTCCTTAATAATTAGATTATTTAAACATTTTTTAAAATGTAAAAATATTTATTTTTTATTTTTATTTTAGTAACACCTAGTGGTAAATCAATTGAAGACACATAATATGTGGAGTCTGGAATTAAAGGAGTTTAGCTTTTAGTAATTTTCATTTATATAAAAGCTATTATATCAGAATATAAGAGATAAAATTTGCTTTCTTTTCCCCAGCATGAAACATAATTATTCAGCAAAATCAGCAATCAATTTATTATACAAATCAGAATTATTTCACAAAGTAATTTATAGCCTTATCTGTTTATTTTGAACTCAGAATAGGTCAGAATTATCCACTTGTTGTGTCCCATTATAGTTTTCACAATGCCTTTAATTTAGAGACAAAACAAAAAAATAAGTGGGTAAAATGTAAAAGTAATACTGAAGTTCTTCAGAGAAATACCTATTTCTGTCATTTTTTGCTAAGATATAAATAAGTCAGAAATCAGACCTCATCTGTTATGTATAAGGACATGTGTTGTAGTAGCAGATTAGCCACCTAATGTTATTAGTTTTTAAGAAATTTAAGAATAAAAATCATGGTCTTTAAAACATTTAGCAATAAATTATGTAAATCTAGAGCACTTCTGGACCAATAGGTCATGACAATATCTACCTTAGCCTCAGGGCAAAGTTGGAGTCTTCCAATGATTCTAAAGGGATTTCCTTGGCATTGACATCAGGGGGTATCTGCAGAGACTCCTAACCTGCGAGGTGTGGTTCCCAAAACACCAGTAAACCAAACAGCATTAATTAAGGGTAGACACATTTGAGATTCTGAGGTTAAACCAAACTGCCATAACTAAAGCTAACTTAGGATCATCTTGATTTTTCACCTGTTTGTGTTCTCATGCACATTCTTTGTCTCTTAAATGTTGATTGCCTGAAAATTATAATGAAGGGGAAAATGATTCATATTGGTCACTGGAAGTAGAAATTAAAGAAAGATTTAAGAGTAATCTGAATTTTTGAAGAGACAAAATACGTGGTGTAAACAATCAAGGTTGCATTCCTTTCTACCATTCTCTGAATTCAACTTGACAAAATTCTATAGCTTCATGTCTCTAAAACTATTCTCACATTGTGTTGTGTAGTTTCACTTGTCATAACTGAATGTAAAGAAAAACAGACAAACAAGAAAAACACCTTTGGGCCAGTAGGTGGCATTATGGTTAAGACCTGAACTCTCACATGACTGAATGGTTCGAGTCCCAGAGTTGGTAGCTTGAAACTCATGTCAGATGCAAGTTTGTGCATCCTGAAAATCCTGAGAGAAAAATGGAGAAGGGATTGAAGTATGACCATCCCTGATGGGGGTGATTTCTCTTTTCCTCTCTCTGTCTCTCTCTGGTGAGCACACACGCCCTATGGAAAAAACTTAAAAAAAAAAAAAGAAACCTCTTATGAGGTACAACAGAGACACAAAAAGTTGTATGTGTTTAGTGTTTACAACATGATGGAATTAAAGACAAGTGCACAGCACTGAAACCATCACTATAATCAATGTAATGATCCCAAGAAAACTTTAAATTAATCTCACCCTTTTTCTGGTAGAGGTACTAGAAATATTTTTTTTTTTTTTGGCTTCTCAACACTCTTGAAACCAAGTCTTTATTCTTTACCTTGGAATTCTACAACTATGAATTTATTTTGTGCCATTTATCTTTTTTGTTAATCACATCAGAGTAGATTTTTAAAAAAATATTTATTATATATACATTCAATCACTATACATTATTTAGATTGTAAAGATATTTTACCCAACATAATATACATCACATGCCTATATCATGAGTTCAGAACACCATATACGACATCAACAGGCAACAAACCATATCTGTGTCCTAGAAATGTCTTACTTGTCCATTTTTCCCCAATTTCCCTTCCTGCACTTTTCTCCTCTCCCACTCTCCTTCCACTTTGTCCCCAGTGTCCATAACAATTTTCAGTACCTTTATATTCTCCAGTCTTTTGGTCTTTATTATAGAGTGTAGACCTTCAGTATATATTAAGTAGAGACATACAATGTCAGTTTCATAGCCTAATTTCTTCACTCAGCAATAAATCTTCCATGTTCATCCACTTTCTATCAAATACCAGGGTCTTGTTTCTGATGACCAAATAGTATTTCAGGTATATGTGCAACACTTTTTCAATTCATTCATCCGTTTCTGAACATTTGAGTTGGTTCCATGTCTTAGCAATTTTGAATAATGCCACAAAAAATATAGCTGTGCAAGCACTTTTCCAACTGACTGTACGCCTGTTCTTTGGGTTGGTACTCAGGAGTGAAACTGCAGAATCGTATGGTAGTTCTATGTGAAGGTCTTTGAGGAATCTCCATATTGTTCTCCAGAGTGGCTAGACCAACTTATATTCTCATCAACAATAAAGGAGAGTTCCCCTCTCATCACATCTCTAGCAGCACTTATAATTTTTTCTTTTTTTAATCTTCACCATTTTGACTGGTGTAAGTAGTATCTCATTGTAGTTTTGATCTGTAT